CACCAAACTTTACACTTGGCACAATGCAGTCAGACAAGTACCGTTCTCCTGGCAGCCGCCAAACCTAGACTTGTCCATCAGATTGCCAGATGGAGAAGCGTGATTTGTCACTCCAGAGAACGTGTCTCTACCGCTTTAGAATCCAGTGGTGGCGTGCTTTCCACCACTGCATCCGACACTTTGCATTGCACTTGGTGATTAATGGCTTAATAATTGTAACCCATTCTTAAAACCCATTCCATGAAGCTCTCTACACAATGTTCTTGAGCTAATCTGAAGGCCACATGAAGTTTGGAGGTCTGCAGCGATTGACTCTGCAGAAAGTTGGCAACCTCTGCGCCATATGTGCCTCAGCATCCGCCGACCCCTCTCTGTCAGTTTACATGGCCGACCACTTCGTGGCTTAGTTGCTGTCGATCCTAATCGCTTCCACTTTGTTATAATACCACTGACAGTTGACTGTGGAAGATTTAGGAGTGAGGAAATTTCATGACTGGATTTGTTGCACAGCTTGCATCCTATCACAGTACCACGCTGGAATTCACTGAGTTCCTGAGAGCGACCCATTCTTCCACAAATGTGTGTAGAAACAGTCTGCATGCCTTGGTGCTTGATTTTATACACCTGTGGCCATGGAAGTGATTGGAACACATGATTTCGATTATTTGGATGGGTGATTGAATACTTTTGGCAATATAGTGCAGCTCTTTTCCAAACAATATTTAGAAAATGCTTTACAGAAATAGGGGGTGGTGGTCATGAAGGTGTAGATTACATAACATAACAGTTCCCCGTTTGCCTTAGAGAGAGATGAACTATTTATGTGTGAGATGCAGTAATTGATATTCTGGTGGTCATTTGCAGCAACAAACTAACACACCTAACAGCGGTTGCTTACTACAGTTGATTATCAGTTTCTACAATTAGCACATACTGTCAATATGGTCTGACTCTAATAACACGGGTCCTCACTGTGTATAATCTGTTTGTCTCATACAAATGATTAATTTTGCTACTGACAACAAAAAAAATATCTTCTTTTCATTAAAATATTCTTTGACACAATGCAGGATCTGCAAGATTAATTAGCCTCCACGGAAAACAGAGAAACAGAATTTGTCAAGTATTGCAATCACAACTAATGCACTGCCCTTTGTGTCTTACAGAGAGACCAGAACAACGCTCTCCAGCCTCTGGAGGTGTGTGTGTGCTGCCTAAGAGCCACCAGAGACAAGCTTCCCAGGGGTCTCTATACTGTCAGTATGGCCCTTCACAGCCGTCTCGGGGGTCCAGCTCTGCCCTGGTACAATAAGAAAAACCAGCAAACATGGGCAACGTCCACTGAGCCGACAGAGCATCGGGGCCGCTTCTACGACAATGACCTGCACATTAACCAGAGCCTGTTGACGGTGGCTATAATTTCTGTTTGTTTTAGCTTTGTTTGTCATTTGACAAACAGTGTTGGGTAATGCTCCTTTTAGAAGTAACTTGTTACACTGCAAGATTACTGCTTTAAAAAAAAGTAGCTCAATATGCATAACGTTACCACTGGTTATTAGTAGGAGCTGTGGGTGTTTCTGAGCTGTCGCATCATCAAGCACAGCTCAGCTGACACACTCTTGTCATGACTCAGGCACAGTTTGTATTGCACTGTTTTTGCCCTTTTCACTCAATTCAAAATAATGTGAATGAGTGCACGTTGTAAAAGCTGTCCTCTCCACCATCTTGCTAGCAGAGCTACATGTGGGCACTGACACAAGTCTAAGATTGTTAAACTAACATTAATGAATTGCATATGTGAAAAAGTAGATAACTGATGACTTGAATTGCAAAACTAATGTGAAAACACCAACAGATTACTTTGAAAACATGTGATATGGGACTATGGAATAATTCTGAGCAAGCCAACATTTAGCTTGTGAATTCAAAATGATTTGCAGTCAGCATTGACAGAGTTGGTAAAGGGAATCATGAATCTGAAAAAAAAACCAAAAAAAAAAACCAAAAAGCAAAACAAAGACTTTTCCATTGAAAAATACAAAAGACATATATATTTTCCTCTGTTGACATGAATATGTTTTTATTCATCAGGAAAACAACAGAATCTAGTTTTGATTAATGACTGTTTTTAAAAAAAAAAATTCATTATATATATTTTTTTTTACTAAATTAGAACCCCTTGATGCGTATAAGATTTAGGGCACTTGCTTTGAATTTTTTATTTTTTTTCCTCTCAGTAAAAAACTGAAATAAACATAAAACACATCTTTTATCTGTAAGCCATTTTGACACGGTGGGACCCTAAATTAAAACATGCTCACTTCCAATGACATGAATAAAGCCTTCAGTATGAAATTTAAAAAATTCTAAATTGTAGTCCAGTGCAAACTTCAAGAAGAAACAATAAAACATGGTGTGCTGTTGTAAAATAAAATAACAATAATAATAATAAAAAAAAAACCCCACTGCATTTTTAGTTTTCGCTCTTGCATGTTATGACCAAATTTCGTTTTCCTGTTTCTGTTTCCTTTGTTTTCATCAGTTGCAGGGAAGGTAGAACAGTTTCTAGACAGGGTTATGAGCAGTTATATTACTGTAAAAGGCAGCGTATGAAAATATGCCACATGCAGCCTCTAGGTTTTCTCTGGGGATCTCCATATGAATAAAACAACAACTTCTCAAACATGACATTTAATCCATGCATGTAAATCAAACCCAATATCAATTATTCATTTATATAAGGAAGTAATGTTTTATTGGAAATGAAAATGAAGTACAAATGGACTGAAACATTTAGTTTCCTTTCTGTGTGTCTTTCAGCATCCGTGACAGAGCTGAGCTAGGAGGAGGCTCGAGGAGGATAAAAGCAAAAATAGAAAAGTTATGCCGAATTGACAAAAATATATTTGTGAGGAGTATTAAAAAATCTCAACCTCCATTTCCATTTCATAATAGAAGACTAAATATGTTTTCCTGTTTGGTTGTTTAGATGAACCAACACAGCAGATTACATTAGATGAAATCTATGCATTTCAAAACCACTTTCCTAAACCTCTGATATGAAGGAAAGCCTTTTCTATAGAAGCTGCACTAATCTTAAAAAACCCACATACTTATTCTGGATGGTCGATTTTGACCAGTGGATTAGAACTCTTTGGTTATGTTTATTCTTTGATGGTATGTGCACAGTACAAAAGATTCACAAGCGAAACCCTAAAACAGAAGCCACTGAATTCAGTGTCCCTCCTGATCCCATAGAGTCTTGTAGAGGCTCAGAAAGGGTTTCTTCACTGTTCTGATGGCAACTCTAAAGGCCTAGCTGGAGCATTTAGCACATGTGGACACTGTCAATGTGGTGGTGGGCGTATTCACTGAGCTAGAGCATCCTGATAATATTGTCTCCAGCTCCCATCAAACATAAAGGATGGGGTAAAAGCTGGCATAAACTGAATGCAGACCTGGGATCTGATTCAGAGGTAAAAAAGGTTTAAGTACGGCATGGTAAATGCCTCATGTCACTCTGCCTTCTCTCCTCTCCTCCCAAAAACCCTTAGCTGTGCTTTATAGACAAACCAGTTGTTGTTGTCCTCATTGATAGTGGTGGAAACGCTGATCAGATTTGTCTGAGACTACCAAGATTGGCTTAGATGTTTTCACTCTCTCCCCTTGCCCACACTATAGCGTGAGATTTCAGGAGTGCTTGCAGTGCCTTCTAAGAGGAAATGAGGAATTAGTGATGGTAGGAGGAAGCCAGGAGCTTATTTTCCTTTCCTCCCTCTCTATCTCTCTCTCCCACTTTTTTTTTTCACTCATCCTTTTCTTTGTGTGTTTGGATTTTGACAGAAACTGCGCAGTTGGAGATGTCTTGGATATGCAGGAGAGTGTGAAGAAGAGTTGAGATAGGCCCATGGTCTTTGTGTAGTTTTTATACTAAACTACTGTAGTAGTAAAAGTATACAATTCCACATTCTAATACAAAAACAAAGAAGTCAGGAACAAAATGAGGAAAGATCCTAGGAAGTACATATGGAGATGTGTACCTCATAGGACCATTCAGCTCATGAGTTTGGTCTTGTCTTTTCCTCTTTTCAATCTTTTGTTCTGTGTTTGGTCATTGAAGAAAGAGAGAGTCATTTAACTGTGAACTGAGTGTCTTGCACAATTATAGTCATTATTTGTTTCCCCTCACTCCTGTTTTTAATTAAATTGGATATTTCTAATGGTTTAAGAGGCTCCACAGGAAGTGGGAAAACTGTGAAGCACATCATCCATTCTCACAAACCTCACAGTAACACTTCCCACAGTAACAATCCCCACATTTCTTTACAGTAAGACTTCCCACATATGCAAACATGTGCTCATGTCTCACAAAGGCATCTCACACATGCACACAAATTACTATTTATGCAGGTCATATATCTTACTGTAAATGAATAATATGAATATCCTCAGTATCTATAATCCCTGATATTATGCCATAAATTTATGTCCTGAGTCAGACACTACTACCCATCATTTCACAGGTGCATACCAAAAGCAGACTTTGGGGGGGGGGCGTTGAAAGGGATACACATGATTTATGTGTTAAAACAAGTCCTCTGCATTTTCCATTACAACTAATAAAAGGATAAAATATTTCCACCCAGTGATGGATGAAGTCACACACACCTTACTGTCAGTTCATTTTTTAGCCAAACCCACCATTCTCTGGGTAAATAAGAATGCATGTGTTTTCCATTGACTGCTAACCACTAACACTTTTAGCTTCACACAAGACACCCTTAATATTATCAGCGTGATTGATGGTGGCCTCACTGAATCACAAATTCAGTAACTGTCAGTTCATACACTGCAACGGCAATCTCAAGCTCTCCTTCATGCTATGTTTGATGCCGACAGTCTTTATCACTCCAACATCTCCTTTTAGGCAATTTGCTGAGTTGGACGGGTAAGAATGGCAGTTAAGAAGGCTCTAAACAGAACAAGGAAATAAGTTAAGGGAGGATTCAAGTCTAGGATGTAAATTAAATGACTCCCCGAGGGCTCCTGTCCTGTTTGTTACCCTCTGTGTGTCTGTTTGTCATTGGCTTCATGCTTGTGAGCAAGTCTATGCACGGTTAGTATGGTATATGTTCGAGCCTGCAGGCGTGTGTGTTCACCTGAATAGAACTGTGAGTGACTTTTTGCCTCCTTATGTTTCTGCAGATCTTACCTGCCGCCTGTGAGATCGCCCCCTCCATGGTCCTAATATTCCAACTGATCACACTACCAGGAGACAGCAGCCACATCAGCTCCGTACTGGCCTGGGGGGCATTTCCGGTTTGTGGGCCAAGCCTCAGTCTCATCCAGGGCAGGTGGGTCAGTTGCTGATTAAGGTTTTTTGTTGCACTTGAAGGTCAATACACCACTACGGACACATAAAAACACATGAAATTCTAATTATTTTTCTGAGCAAAAGCCTTAATTTTGACTAAAAGTAGTCCAACTGGATGAAATAATTATAAACAAGCACTCTGACTGTCAAAGATTTGGTTGTACCGTGGTTACTAATGATAATGTGTCATCGACCTAGGTTCAAAACTCCAATGCTCAGGGGGGAGCCCAGCACGCAACTGGACCAGTTTAAAAAAATTGAAGCCCTCATCTCCTCTGATCTAGACCACTGGCTGTGCAACCTGTATTTTCAGGTGCGTGTCTGCGATTAGGAAACATACGAGCGCATGTTTGTTTTGAAGATCTCGTCTCCAGTTTCGTACATTTACATTCATAATTGCGTGCAGCTATGTGTAAGTTTAACAGTTAAACCATATGCTTGTGTGTACATCTTCTTCCTCACTCTGATCCTTTCCTATTATTTGGGATGTTTGGGAGGCAGAGTGGTGGATATGAATAAAAGGGGGTTGGATTTTGGGATTTTCTATGATAAAAAGCTTTTACAGAGAAATTGGAAATTGGCCCCAGAGAGCAAACGAGAACCACATCTTTACCCAGCAATTCCGGATGCATTTGAGCTGATGCATTGATTAGATTAGTAAACATCTTAATTGAATTAAAAACCAGAACAAAGCTCTTTGTCTTGGTTTGCCTCTTTATTTGTCCCCTTGACTGTGACATGCGGTTTGTATTACTGCATTATCATTAATGTTGTCTACAGTTGCTTTGATTCCTGAGGGATGTTTTTGAGCATCTTTGCATTTGCACAGCACAATAGGATGTACAATATTCTTGTCACATTTCTAGGCTTAATTGAATTATTTTATGGCACACTATGACAAATACTAATAATTCTCTATGTCTGCAGTTTGATCACAAACACCTGTAAAATAATCACATACACATGTTGTTTTCTAACAAACAATGGTGATGCAATGGAATAATATGAACATAACTATTAGCGACATTAACATGAAGAGGTTATACTAATGTTCACCAAACACATATGTAGACCTCTAACACACACAGGCAGACCTATTTCCCTCCTGCTTTTGCATTTCAGGTAAAAAGGCTTCCACCTGGCGCATCTGGGGGGCAGGAACACTGCATCACCGTATCGATACCAACTTCTAACCTCCCTGTCATGCCCCAACCTGAGGTCCATCATGATCAACCCCAGAACCAGCTGCCACTCCAGCTCCCATCACAGTCCCACTTCTGTCCTCAACCCATCCATCCACAGTTCCAACAGCAGGGGCATGCGGGCCCCAGCCGCAGAGCAGAAGAGCCCACTGTGCTGCATTCTCACCGGGGGTCTCCTCTCCACCTGTCAGCTGATTCTGCTTGCTCTTCCTCATCTCTGCCAGGTAGGGGTCCAATGTTAAAAACCCCCAACTACGCCACAGTGGGGAGAAAATGTCACCCTAATGTCACGAGTACTGGGAAAAGAAGAATGGCAGGTCTCACTTACAGCAACTCTCCTTCTGTGCTCGAAGGTAGGGTTGGGTAGAGACGGTGGGCCAAGCTTGACAGACAGAAGTTACATCAAACAAAGGACTTCTTCTCAGAAAGATTACATGCAAAAAAAAAAAACCCAACAGAAACACTGTAGCATTAGTGTTAGTTCAGGCAAATATTTAAGCAGCAAGGACAACACTGGCTGACCCTGATAGACGTGTAACACATTCAGACAAATATCACCACTTCAAAAAGCAAACAAACTCTCGGTGCACTGACGTGAAAGCACTGGGAAATTAAGTCCAATTAGCAACCACACATTAAAAAGGTTTTAAAATTGTGATTAAGCTTTCCAACAACATGTTGTTTTTTTTTTCGTAAATAGTCAGTATTTAGTCTTGCTGATATGTTTAAATGTTCTCTTCCAGTAAAAATGGCTTTTAGTTCCTGCATTTTAACAGCATTATTTTTTATTTATCTGTCAGTCGTTCAAGGACCACAGTTACGAAATATTCTAATACAATTACAGTCTTTTCTTGATGGGTTTCTGTGAAAACCTACATCATCACAGAGAAACATGTGCAACTAGGGGGCAGAAAGCAGCATTCTTCGTGACATATCAAGCAGAGCCAAGCAGAGATGACAAGGAGTTGTTGTTTAGTAAACTGCACCATCTGTGAAAAAGATGGATAGAAAATGTTCAGTATTATGAGGGGATCACATGCCATTTGCTATGAACAGAAGAAAACTGTGGATCCAGGTCATTTTATGGGCTTATTGAGGCCTATACATGTAAATTCAGCTTTGTATAGATGCTAGGCTTCTCTATGGCATAGATGTATATGTATGACCTAATGACTGCTTGCCACTTGGACATATCTAAAGTTGGCTTGTGGTCTGGAATAGTACAGAGGCTCTCACTATTACTAAGAATTAATTTGTTGCAGACATCAAACTACCATGGTTTCCAGACCTAGCTAGCTGCCATACAGTATTTGTCCAATAGCTGCCAAGTTTCTTGCTTTTTACTTCATTACCCTAGTGACAGTAATCTAACCACCAAACTCCCTATATTGTCAAATAAAGAGAGGAAAGTCAGGGTCAACAACCAACAAAGCTACCAAAGTTGAACAAAATGCATAGGCCGTATTAGCAAGCAAGGTTTTTGTGACTCAGCAAGCTCCTTTTAGCTCAACTTTTATTTATATATCAAATTTAGCAGGGGAAATTTACACCTAATGACTGTGCTGATTGTCAAAGATTGTTAACTAGCATTTTACACAATATTATATTATTATATTTTGAATTCTGAAATAGAGTTTTATTATTGAGTCAGCAAAAATGAACAAACCAATGTGAAATGTAGGTTGACGACACTCTTGTAAGCAGCTACCAACAAAGTTTTGCACACCAAGGAATGTTTGTAAAAAAGAAACTTATCAACAGTAGGTCACTAAGATGCACAGAAGTGCAGGTCTCTTACATTCATAAGGGACACTGCTGTTTAACCCATTCTGTGCTCAGTTACATCAAACTAAACATTTTTCACTTGACACATTCAAATTAATGATTCATTGCACAAATATGGCCTGGCTTCCGTGCTTTGTGGCCTTAATGGAATAACACAGTAATAGAATCTTTTTTACTTTAAACATTAAAGAAAACACCATTACAGAGAAGTAAAACCTCTAAACACTGAGTTCAAATGATAGCCAGTTGACTGAAATTCCTTCTCTGCAGTCCAGTAAGCACTTTAAAACTTTAATTCATAAAACATTTCTGATTACCATGTTGAATTTGTCATTATCGACTCGAATACTAACTTTCAAGTGTCGTTCTGCTACCTTCATTTCATAACAGTTCTTTTTAAGAGAGTCTGACACAAAGCAGATGATGAAATGATTTTGTATTGCAAATGAGCTCTGTTAGGGACTTCACCTCGGCTCGGTGGTTAGTGGTGCTTTAGAGCATGGAGTTTTCTGTGCTTTGCATGTTCCCCCATGTTTGTTTCATTTTCCTTTGGGTTCTCTGGTTTCAGTCCAAAGACCTGCAGGTCAGTTTTATTGCAAACTTACATCCCCACGTGAGAATATGGTGTGTTTTCATTAGTCTTGTGATGGACAGGTGCTCCTTTGCTTTACTTACAATGCATGCTGGAAGAAGATGCAACATGATCCTGAACAGATATAAATATGTCCATCAGATACATGGATGAAATGTTACAACACTACAACTGTGACCACATCTAAAGCGGGCTAATGACTCTGTTAATTGTAGCAAGGATCAGCTTCCTTATTTGAAAAACATAATATTCTTGTTTCCTACCTAAATCATCCAACATCCTGGCCATTGCCAGAAATCAAATACGGGCTCATTTGGTATTGATCTACTACAAAGACGGATGGCTAGCTTCTTTGTTATTAATACATCGTCCTTTTTTCGCTTTTCTTTCTTTCTTTCTTTTTTTTGCACGCACAGCTCATCTTTATTTAACAGTTCTCAAAAGTTTCTGGGGTGCTCTGCTTTAAACATCACACAGGCTTTTTAATTACAAATGAGTTGTGACAGGTCTGCTGGGTAGCACCCTGGCCCATTTTAAACGTGATGCCGGCTGACAGCTTGGCAGTGTTCTCCCAGCACTGAAACATGTGGAAGAAATTGGTCTTTTACATTTCACAGCTTGTCGCTTCCTCCGCTGGCTGACCTGTGACCCCCCACAGAGATCCTAACGCCCACAAGGGAAGTGTCCCCAACGAACTGACTGCCTTTCCAGAGAGAGAGAGAAAAGGAGAGAGAGGGAGGGAGAGAACCACTCACTATGGGAGATTTATGTTCTGCCACACAAGGCAAAAGGTACCAGGTCTCTTCACCACACACAGCTGCAAGCTGTGGCTCTCACACAGGCATGGATGTCAACACACACATTCTCACAGCCAGGTGAGGAGGTTGCTTGGGAAGTGAACCTGATCCGCAAGTGAAATAACGGATCAAAAGGTGTCCTGCACAACACCTCATCCGAGCCGTTCCCTAAGCCGACCTGACGTTTGTGCCTCATTTGCATACAGATCCGTTCATGTTGCATTACCTCTGGAGCAAATTATGGCATTCAGATGGGGTGATACGTCAGGGTTGGAGGGAGCAATTGGATGGACAACTTTAACCTAGCCAAGAAATGGAAATCCAATTCAGTGAGAAACAGAGGACCGAATTATCCCCCCCCCCCCCCCCCCCCGGTTCTTTGTGAAGTCTGAGGGTTTTCAGACATTTCCTTCCTATTTCATGACTCCCTATTTCTGATGTGTGCTTGTGCTGTGTGGAGATCACTTTCTACAGCATGTAATGCCTGGATTTTCCTCATTACCCATTTGTTTCAGAGTCAGGACAAGCATATGGGGACCTCTTGTCATTGTGATAACGTACACAGAGCTATGCTTGACAGTAAGACTGGAAGTTTGTATTCCTGAGGCCTTAAGTTAATTAATCCCCATAGAAAAATCACTGTGCTTGTGAGGTGTCTAGTGCAGAACAAAACCTGACATCCCAATTCAAGACAATAACTCTGACAAGTTTTGATTGAAAAAAAGAAAGATTATTGTTAATCTTACTGTGTGGTCATTAATGTTTTGGGGTTTCAGATAAACTTGCTATTGGACAATAATAATCTGATTTACCTCAGTTGACTTGTCCAAGCATAATGGAGTGTATTTGGCTTCTTAACGTAGCGATTAGCCAGAGGCACACTGGGTTAAGTGACCTTTCACATTAACTGAATGATCCAGTTACATTGGGTTTGTTTGAACCCAAATGACTAATTAGATTAGCGTCTTGTTTCATGATCGCCTTTAGTAGATCACTATGAGCACGCAGATGAGTCTGCCATAACTGTATCACTGCCTCATTTCTCTTTCCCTTTTTTTTTTTTCATTTTATTTTAATTTTTTTTACAAATGCATGTTAACATCCATCCCCTAGAGCATGGATGGTGATTTCGAGGATTCCTCATCTAATGTCTTCTTTGGAGCGCTGCCCTGCACTTTCAGGATGTTCTCCCCTCCAGCCCACTCCCAGTCATCAGAGTTTCAAACCACAATGTTACATCATACCCTCTCAATCAGTCTCACCCTGCATCTCGCCGATTAATTCAACAATGTCCGGATTCCAAAAGGCTGGATTCAACCTTTGAAGCCTGTTTGCAGAGATACACATGTAAACCCTCACATTAGGGTAAACAACCCTAAAGGACCACATGTGGAGGACAAATACAGAGTGTATGGGACAAACAAACCCAAAGGTGGAAGTATCTTGTCTTGAAAAATGCACTTGAGAATTTCCAGTTTGTGTGTGATAAGACAAGTGCAGTCTATGTTCGGTTCAGCGAACATGATAAACACAGATTTGACTTTCAAGACCAGCAGACTTCACCAGTGAGACGGGGAAAACGGCATACAAATATGTACGTATTAGTATGCACTGAGTGTCTGTTATTGTCATTAAAATGCAATGGATTACAAGAAAATAAACTCTCGTGTGAAGCAACATCGATTCCTCACAGTATCATAGCAACCTTAACACGAGATCGTGACATGGACTCAGGGGTAATCCGCGAGTCGCTAACCTTCGATTCCTCTGTAACTTTGGACCAGTCATCAGGCAATTAGGGGCCTAGGTGAGCAAGAACCGCCATCTCAGTCTGGTTCCATCTCACCGGTAACACAGTGATGGGGTCTCAACAGTGTTACAGCCCTCAGGCTTTTCTTTTTTACTTGGCCTGTTTTTGTGTGTAAGCAAGGGAGAAAAGAGGTGTGTTGAGTTATGTGTCTGTGAGGTACACTCTTATATTTCTACCCTGGAAAATATTTGTGCATATATGCAAGTGTCTACATATTAATATCTTTGCCTTTGTGTGTGTGTGTGTGTGTGTGTGTGTGTGTGTGTGTGGGTGCATCAATGCAGTGTGTGTACTGGATGAGTATGTGTGCTGGTCTTAATACAGCTCAGAGCGCAGGGGATAACAAGGAGTTTGTTGTTGGCCTTGAGTGCCCGGAGAGGCTGGAGTTGTGGCAGCTCCAGCACTCTGAGTTCACGGACGTAGCCTTTAGCTGTCAAAGCTGTCGATGCTGCCTCCGCACCGATTCTGGTTCCACCACGTCTGAGCATTAGAAAGTGGGGCCTGGTGTAATGAGTGAGTGTGTGTGTGCGTGTGTGTGTGCAAATGTATTTGGCTGTGTGGTTTAAGAAAGCATCCTAATCCATGGTGGGCCCACTCTATAAAGTTGCTGTTGTTGTTGCTAATAAAGGTTGAGATGTGTGCATTGGTATGTATGCAAAAGAGGGTTGCAATGCTTTTTCTCAGATTGTCTGCACAGGAGCTCAGATATAGGTTGCTTAATGTAGTCAAGAGCATTTTTACCTGATTTCAGCAATAAACTATTAAAACAATGCATTACAACTTTGAACACAAATAGAGAAATTAGGATATTTTAGAAGCTATGTAAAGGGAATAAGACAAAAATCTTCTTAAATAGAGTTCGAAAAAGAATGATTTTCCAGATTCACATTTTGTAATTACTATTGAAAGGTCTCTAACTTTTAGTTTTTTACTACAATCCACCCCCTTTACTTTTAAGCTGCCCCCCCCCTTTTTTTAACATTTCATCACGGCAATGCTTTGTATGTCAGTTTTTTATTTATTTAAAGCACTTCTTTCAAAGTGCATAAAAATATCTTCACGATATCAAGATGTGTTTACACTGTGTGCGCAAGACATTTGACTGATCTTGATGTTGACACAAAACTGAGTTTACAGTTATGTAATGTCAAGGAAATGCAGAAATACATATATATATATATATTTTATCCCAAGAATAGAACAAATATAACCTTCTTACCTTACAACTGTAGGCATTCCAAATGTTTACCAGCAGAGTGGTGGTAATTAAAACCTACATCTGTGTGAAATCTGATTTCAGACTCCCTTAAATATAGTGGTGAGCAGAGTCTTCCTGCCATTTACATGTAGTACAATTTAGCTGTCAGAGGGATTTCTGATGTGTGGCCTATATTTAAGTTATTATTACTGATATATTTAATCTCGCAGCAAGAGAAAAATTATATCATTGCTGAGTTTTCCATATGTATTATATAGATGTGATTGGTTCCATGGTGGGGGGGGGAAGTTTCACATAGTGAGATTTTTTACATGTATCAAGCTAAGGTTTACTTAATTACAACCTCCAGGCAAAGCAGGAACCCTTTTTTAAATTCTGTGAATGTTAATATGCTAAATAATGCAGATCTTCGACTCTTCAAGCATGAGACACACATCTGGCGGCTTACCATTTAAATTACAGCAAAAAAAAAGTGAGAGATAGAGAGAAAAGGAAAAAAAATGGAGTATGAAAAACACTTCAAAAGTAATTTTACAAAGAAGAGAAGAATGAGAAAATGTATCACAACCAAATTTAATTTCTTTTTTGATTTTTCATCATTTCTAATTGCATACATTAGAGCGTTGAGGCTGGGAAGGTTCAGCTGTGACTGGAGGAGACACAGATGACTGTGTAGAGGGAGCTCCATAAGTTAACACTCCTTCTTCTCTCTACTGACTAAAATCACCCTTTGTTGCTTTTGCAAGTCTCCAGATAGCACACCAAAACATCTTCAGTACCTGCCTCAGAGAAGAAAAACAAGACAAAAGAGACTTGAAGTGTGTTTAGAAATGCAAAGAGTATTTTATTTGATTTCTTGGTACACTGCAAACAACGTTGTTGTTTTTTTTGTTTGTTTTTTAAACAATTACTCCTCTCGTACTTGGATCTTGCTGGATTTTTTTTTGCATCTCTAGCTCAATTTTAAATTTATTTCACGTAAGTAAATATGCAATTTTAATTGTTATTGTGTTGAATGAAATTAGATTCATAATTTAGAGTGTAAAGTCTCTTTTGTATTTTTTTTCATTGCTGCATTTCACCAGTATGTCTAACAAGTGCTTACTAGTAATTATTTATAATATAATTAGCACTCAATCATCGTATAATGATTGTCAGATGTGATTTGCAAAAGATAACAAACATTTTATTATTTTTCACACTTACTGCACGTATTTTCTTTTTTTTGGGATGCAGGGAAGAATTTCTCCTCAGGAGCCTTTTCTGGAAACACTGGGGAGAAGAGTGATCCATGTAGGGAGAAAGCAGAGGGTGGGATTCACTACAAGGTAACACTGTGATTTAAAGGGAAGTGTTCCCACCCTTAAAATGAGTACCCTCTCTGCTTTTCCCTTCCTTTCCCTCCTTTTCCCTTCCCTTCCCGCCCCTCTCTGCACCCCTACACACACTTCCCCGGCTTATTATCTGAGATTTGTCAAAATACATTTCACACTAACAGGTATTTTTCAGCCTTCAAAGCCAGTTTTGATCTGCTTGACAAGCCAAAGCAGCTCAAATTCTGTGAAATCAGCAATGCCAGCCAGGCCTTCCTTTTTTTTTTTTTTTCTCCAAACCATTCTAAACACGCCTCTTCCTGTGCTACAGAAGACTTAAGCTAAATTAATCAAAGCCTGCATGTTACCTGCCATACTTTGAAGTGGTAATTGCAAAATTACTCTTTGTGCTGATCTGGCATTGCTGCCTCCTGGTCCGCCCCTGCCATTGTGCCTCCGCTGCGGCCTTTTGTTGTTGTGATGTTATTGTTGAGGTAGTTAGAAGCCTATGAACAACATCAAGCATCCCTCTCTCACACGCATGTACACATCTTCCCCTCCTGCCTCTCTCCTCCATCCCTGCTAGTCTTTATTCTTACTAACCTCCTTCTGCTGATGTACAAGAGGCTCTTCAGACCACCATTAATCAGTGATGACCTGTTAAATAAATGAGTTTGTTGATATGAGGTTTTATTTCTCTGCAGCCTCTGTAGACCATGCCTTTTTCTTCCCCTCTTTTGCCCTCTCTTTAAAACCTTGCTAACTCTGTCAAATGTCGTGGTGTGGAACCCAGTTGTCTAATGATTAAGTGGAGTGATCTTCAACCTGCCCCAGCCTGGGAGCACGAGGGATCAGATTTCAGCCCTTCAACCTGCAGTGCAGGCCTAATTAAAATGAATTTTCTCCAGGCGACCACTTTGCCCACAGGGCAGGAATCCAGCTATATACGGAATCCACTCTTAAGGTATTGCATTAAATTTATTGTGGGGAGACACTGGAGAACATTGTGGTTTATATATCTCCTGCATTTTTTTTTCTCCCTGCTTTCTTTCTCGCTCCACCTTTTTATTGTGATCATCACTCTGGAATCCAAGCTTGCTTTGGCAAAGATTGCCCTATGAAAACGGATGGAGCTTTTATGGGACTCTGCCCATTTACTACTTCCTTGGCCTAGTTTATCTCACAGGGAGAGATGGAGAGAGAGACGGAGGAGAGGAAAAGATGAAAAAAAAAAATGAAACAGAGAGAGGTAGAATGAGAAAGGGCTAGAAGAAAGAGAGAGGTTGCTTATTCCAACTGTGGATCTCATTAACATACATCAGTGTGTATTTCACAACTTCAAGCAGAAAGGCACTAAGCCCACCCAAGGGCAACACAGGCAGGGCTGACAGGGCCAAGGAAAGCAAGCCGTTAACATGTTGGCGGCTTAACAAATAATATCTGCTCCCAAGTACCTTGGTGAAAAATTTAAAACCCCACTTCCTAACTCCATTTGACTGTGTTTATGACGATGACAGTAAACGACTTGTGTGGAAAAAAAACAGTGCCAGCTGCTCAAATATCACATATTTAACACCACCGTCACTGTACGCATGTTTCCCAAATGAACTCAACTTGAAGGATGGCATGCCGTATGCGATTTTGCCGTCATTCTTGTCTCATGTCAATTGAGGCGCGGGTGAGATATAGGAGAGGCTCCAAAGTGCCATGCACACTGTCACTGTCACCGTGTGCATCCCCCAAGATAAATTCAGAAGCCCGTTTCCTGCTTTGATTACAAATGACATCCGCATGTGTTCTCCCCGATTTCTGCTCCTCACAGAAGAAGCCAATCAAGAAGACAAATAGCTGTGGCCCCAGCATGAGCGGCAGAAGTGCACCGCCTCGGCAGGCAGACAAACAGAAGATGCAGCCTTCAATGGAGAACCTCTCCACGGAGGAGATGGAGGAGTATACATTCTCCCTACAGTAAGTCTCACCACTCATTATCCTGCCTCAGCCTTGCAAAATTCAAATGTGGGGGGAAAAAAAAAAAAAAAAAAAAGAAGAAGAAAAAAATGTGGGTGACAAGTGGTTTCTGCCTCACAGACAGTGATGTGTACAGCATCAACCAGACAGACACTGACAACAAAATGTGCCCAGAACTCCTCCTGTACAGATAAAGATACAGTAGTCACATGGCTTTCAAGGGAACTCTTAACTAAATGGGATTTACATTTGATGTAGTTTTAATCCTATATAACTCAGGTTTAATTTGCTAACATAAACAACACACGAGCAGTGTAATTTCCAGAGCCTCATGGCCTCATCTGTCCTGAAGTAAAAGGAAGCAAACTTGCGAGAAAGCACAGAAATTAAGTTTTCCACAAGAGTTTTAATTTTATTTTTCATACTTTAACTCAGTATCCAAACGTGTCCCTTGCTCAACAAATCTTAACTTTTGTGCTTTTTTTTATTTTATTTTATATGGGCTAAAATCTGTACAATAAAATAATATGCTAATTATAAGTTAAAATTTTGCTTTGTGGTTTAGAGTTTTAATACAAAATTGTAGTGCTTCCTCAAACTAATTTGGTTTGTAACAATATTGCATGGGAAGCCAAACCAAGCATTGCTCAACCTATAACCATAATGTCACTGGTTACATGACAAAAAAAAAAAAAGAAAAAATTGTTTTCCTCCTCACTGTAGCTTACAGCGTTTGATTTTAATTAGAAAACAAGTATGTATGAAATACAAAAAAGACCGGGAAGCACAGAATTTCAAACACCTTGGCCAAATTTGTCAAAAGCAACAAGGTGCAGCACCGTACACCCATGGAGCATCAAAACAGACTAAAAGCAAAATTGCTTATTTCAACAAAAAAGTCACAGGTATTTGTTTTTATTGAATGTCAACTAAATTAAGGGGAGGAGATTACCAGACATACTGCTGCACTGGAGGAGGGGGGGCGCGAGACGGAGAGAGGGAGTCTATGTATGTGCAACAGAGACGTAAAGCGAGTTCTCCCCGGAGATTTAAAAGTACCCATGTTTCCTCATTTCTGGGAGTTCGTAATTTATAGCTGCTGGTCACATATTAAACAAGATCAGAGACTACTCCCTGACATCTTCTGAACATACTGGGGGAATTCAAATGATTACCAGCGTATCCTGCCAACAAATGACGACACAGGGACTATCTTGAGGGAGAGTGAATATAAAAAACGAACACAGAGCCCAGGCAGACTGCACACAAAGGGACACAATTAAATGGTTTTCACGATTATTCATAGTGCCGCTTTTTTACCTCTGAGCAGTTGCCGGGTTCCGTGAGATGAGACGTTTCTGTCAGTTATAGGTAAGGATTGTATTGAGTTGAAGCCTCGGCTGTTCCCTGATGCCCTGTGAAGGTGCTGCTGCTATTGATTTCATCTTTACAAGCACACACATTACAGTATCTCTGAGCTAAAGGCTGCTATTTTGCCCTCACCTAATCAGACTATTAGAAAGATACAGTGCCAGCGTTCGCTTTCACAATGAAGTTAAAAAAAAAACGTGGCAAAGTCATACCCTCACCCACCTCTCCCACTGTCTTGTTTGACTTACTCCAGGCCTCTCTGCATTACCTGAGGACTGACAGAGATTCAGACAAAAGGGATTGTTTACAGATTTTTTTGTTTTAAATTGTATTTTATTTGCCATAATGATGTCATCTCCATCTCTTCTGGCATTTTTTTAAAAACTCATTTTTGTTTTCGCACCTATGCGACAGCGGGCATGTGTGCATAACATTTCTCGACTGCACAAGAGTGTACAGTACGCACATGCCTGTGTATTCGTGTATTTTAAGTGGGAAGAGGATTCATACTGCAGTGATTGAGGGATATTACTGCCATCTATTGAGCCACAAGAGACTGAGCTCATTGAGATTTTTATAGGGCGTCCTGACACAAATGTGCAAATCAGATGCTCATGCATTATTAAGGAAACACTTAGAAACAGTAAGATTCAGTTCAGATAGTGTGGGAATCACACAAATACTTGAACACAATGCATTCAGTATGTAAAAGTCACAGTCAGGAGGGCTTTATTCACTGAGTAAAATAAACGCACTGAAATGAATTAATACGAAGAGGGCAGATGCCTTATACAGTATGGTCACAGTTCTGTGTGCGTATGTGTGATTTCAAAGTATACTTTATTTTAAGTTAGCAACTGTTTAAAAATATAATAGCATGATTACAGTAAAGGCAGCTAGCAGTTTAAATGAATCCTAAAACTTCAGAAATTTTCTGTTACATGTAAGTGGATTTAAAATACAAAAATATAATCGTGATCAGTTCATCTACTCAGACTGACAGGAAAAATACATTCTCTGGAAGCATATTAAGAGGCCACAATCACAGGTGATTTATTTATACATATAATATTTATATATATATATATATATATATTTACATTTTTTTTCTTTGGGTCAGGATCAGCTCATCCCTGCTTTTTGAAATTAGCAATTTTGTTATGTTATTTTTGTTTTTAAATTATTACAGTTTCAGGTTAATCTCAAAAGTACGTCTAATAAAATGCCTACAATGTATGTGGAATCATAATGACCATAAAACACAGTTTCAAAGACAATACAATGCACGTTTTCCTGCAAGTATTGACAATTGCCAGTCAATTCCAGGAAAATGAAAAAAGAATATGAAAACAAGTCAGGAACGATCCGTCTTTTTTCTTGTGAAGAGTTGCTGTGCCACTGATATCTGTTTGAACATGCATGAAAGACTCTCGCCGACCTTCCAGCTTATTTGATGTCTACAAGTGTAATCTTAACCACCTTTTTTCTCACAGAATAGCACTGAGCAAAATCAAAGCACCTGATTCAATACGGCTGTTGTAATTCGATCGGGCCAATTTTGTGTTTTTGGGTGAAGATAAACATACTCAGACTGAATTAATTTTACAGTTGAGATGGTATGCACTTTATACTAAGTGCGCTCAACACAGTGATAAGTTACTGATGGTAGCTTGCATCACATGTCACACTTAAAATAAACCACCTAACCTCTAATCTATAGGTAGTCTTGAAGAAATATCAATCGTTAAGAAAAAATAACTTCTCTTATCCACTGTACCTCAGGCCTTATGTTCATGCATCAATGATTATTGTCAATTAGCTTTAGCATTGTGTCGCACCAATGTCACCCAACTATTTTTTTCCCCTACTCTCCTTTTGAGGAGAGAAACCTGTTTTAATCAAAGTCATTCTCACATAGCAATTAGATCTAATTAGTCCAATTATCAAGATTCTAATTACATTAAAATATACCCCCTAAATCTCATATCAATTATAGTATGTGTGACTTGTCCTGATCAGGAGACATGAAGAGAAAGAGAGACAGAATGAAGACAAAGCTGGGTCGAAGGTAGAAAAGAAGAACATCCTCATCCTCCGGAGGACAAATGACTGTAGAACTAGCTCCGTCTGTCCCCCAAAGCTTTTATTACAAAAGACTGTGAGGCCATTTGGGGATAGATGTCACTTAACCTTTATTCATTTGTTTCATATGCTGAACTATTTTGTTACTAATTATGATGCTATGATTAGTTATATCCTTGTTTTCTGTCTCAATTAGATTCGTGATTAATCACGGTAAATACCATTTGAGCATTTAGGGTCACAGTCAGTTATCAAACACTGTTGTTAAGTCTGGATTAAGACCACAGCAGTGACTGTGGGGGAAATAACCTTTCAGACTCAACTTTTGGTAGCACAGTCACTCGTGTGCCAATATGTGGCAAGTAGGGAACACAAACACACACACACACACAAACAAGCACAGACCTGTACAGTATGTTGCTATAGTGGTGCAGTATGACACTGTAGGTGCACTGGAAACACACACACACACACACACACACACACACACACACACACACACACACACACACGTGCACAGCCTGTTCTTGCTGTGGAGTCAGAGGGAACACACTGACCTAATTTCCCCCAGTTAGCTCGCCTCGTTGGGGACCAATGTTCCTCTCCACCCGTTTCCCCCAACCGAGCCTATCAGAGCACTCCCTCAGTGTGTGTCTCTGTTTCTCTATCATTCTGTGCCCTCCATCTGTTTGAGTTCCTATCGATGCTCAAGTAAAAGATTAGCAGTAAAGTGTACACCTATTCTGTTCAGAGCTACTCTTTTTTTCCCCTTCCCTGTTTATGGTATTAATTACACTGAATCATGTGCATAAAACGTTGATAACATGCACCCTGCAGTGTCATTGCTTTGCAAAAGACGGACCAATAAGTACATGGAGAGAAAGAGAGATCAGCCTGCCAATACATACAGAGAACGAGAGAAAATCACCTGAAATAACAACTAGTTCCAGGCTGTCAATCCGCTGCACACTGCAGCTCCGAATCACAACTCAGTGCAAGGGTCAATCAATTCTGATGTAATGCTGGTAGGAGAGGTGGGTGGAGATGGCAGTGCTGGTCACCCCGAAGTCTCCAGTGCTTTCCAGGGCTCTTTCCTGTGCTGAGGGGGCAGGAATATGTCTGTGTACATGCACAAGTACGTGCATGCATGTGTGATACAGAGGCCCCTGGCTACCTCGGCCTGAGTGCACATGTTAGGGTTTTTTTGTGGCCAGACGCGCCCTGGGTCACTTCGGATCTCACAGACACACACATACAAAATCAGTGTGCTGCTTCCTTTATGGAAATCAGAGCTGTCAGCTCCCTGACAGGCTAACACTGCAATATGATTGGTTAATCTGCAGTGATGTGGGTGTCAGTGAGAGCCGACTGCGGTCCCATTGGTGGTCTGGGTCAAATGAATGTGTTTCCCACTGACACGTAAGAAAGAGGGGGAGGTGTCAGATAGGGGAAAGTGACAGGAACTATATGTAAGAGCATATGAGTGATTGCGTGTGATTTGTGCATGAGAAATTTTGTGTGCGTTTGAGAGAAAGAGAGCTGAGCCA